TTTTTTTCTTCCTTTCTCTCTCTCTCTTTTAAAAAAAAAATTCCCAACTGGAAAAAAAATAAAAATAAAAATAAAATTAAATTAAAAAAAATAAAGCCAAAGACACTCTCACCTCCCTCTCGCTGCTCTCAATCCCGTGGGATGCTAAAAAGGGAAATCCAGACTCATGCTTTTCTTATTATTTTTAACAAAAGTGCTTCTTAATTCAAGCAAGTGCTTTGGACCAAGGGGTCGGAGAGAAACTTCCTGATTTTTATTATTATTGGGGTTTTTTTTGTGTTTTTTTTGTTGATTTGATTGGTATTTTTTGTTTTAATTGGGTTTTTATTGTTGGTTTTTTGTTGATTTTTTTGTTTTAATTGGGATTTTTAATTGGGTTTTTTTATTGTTTTTTTGTTGGTTTTTTTGTTGATTTTTTTTGTTTTAATTGGGATTTTTAATTGGGTTTTTTTATTGTTTTTTTGTTGGTTTTTTTGTTGATTTTTTTGTTTTAATTGGGATTTTTAATTGGGTTTTTTTATTTTTTTTTGTTGGTTTGTTTGGGGTTTTTTTTGTTTTAATTGTGGTTTTTCGTTGGGTTTTTTTATTGGTTTTTTTGTTGTTTTTTTGTTGATTTTTTTTGTTTTAATTGGGTTTTTTTTGTTGGGTTTTTGTTGATTTTTTTGTTTTAATTGTGGTTTTTTGTTGGGTTTTTTTATTGGTTTTTTTGTTGGTTTGTTTGGTTGTTTTTGTTTTAATTGGGTTTTTTTGGTTGGGATTTTTTAATTGGTTTTTTTGTTGGTTTTTTGTTGATTTTTTTTGTTTTAATTGGGTTTTTTTGTTGGGTTTTTGTTGATTTTTTTGTTTTGATTTGGGGTTTTTTTTGGGGTTTTTTTATTGGTTTTTTTGTTGATTTGTTTGGTATTTTTTGTTTTAATTGGGCTTTTTTTTGTTGGTTTTTTGTTGATTTTTTTTGTTTTAATTGGGTTTTTTTGTTGGGTTTTTTAATTGTTTTTTTGTTGGTTTTTTGTTGTTTTTTTGTTTTAATTGGGTTTTTTTGGGGGTTTTTTATTGGTTTTTTTGTTGATTTGTTTGGTATTTTTTGTTTTAATTGGTTTTTTTTTGTTGGGTTTTAATTGGATTTTTTTTGTTGATTTGTTTGGTATTTTTTGTTTTAATTGGGTTTTTTGTTGGTTTTTTTTGTTAATTTTTTTTGTTTTAATTAGTTTTTTTTGTTGGGTTTTAATTGGATTTTTTTTGTTGGTTTGTTTGGTATTTTTTGTTTTAATTGGTTTTTTTGATGCATTTTTTTATTGTTTTTTTGTTGATTTGTTTGGTTGTTTTTTGTTTTAATTGGATTTTTTGATTTTTTTTGTTTTAATTGTGTTTTTGTCTTTTTTTTATTTTAATTCTGTTTTTTCCTTGTATTTTTTCTGTTGCTTACATCTTTTTTTGTCCCACATTTCCTTGTTTTATCCAGAAATTTGGGAAAAAGGAGATCTGAGCGCTCCAAACCCATCGGATTTCGGATGAAAGGAAAATCTGAAATCAAAATTTCCTTAAATCCAATGTCGGGGTGAGGGGAATGGTCCAACTTTGGCATAAAAAAGGATGGAAAATTCAGGAATTTTTACGAGGGGAGCGGGAAGTTTCCCTCCATCCCTATTTT